ATATATATATATATATATATATATATATATATATATATGAAAAAACTCTTCCCAATGCCTATAGGTAAAAATAAATAGTGATTTTGCATACTCTCATCACCATCCAAACTTTATCGCACGATCACAGTTGTCTGGTAGTGTTTCAATTTTTATTTTTTTTTCTGCAAATCCAAATTATTTGAAATTTAGAGTGTGTGTACATCTTAGTGAGGCGTATCTAATATAAATTGACCAAAATACCCCCAAAATTTACGAGGGTATTTTGGTCAAGTTATAGTTTTTCGAATTATTTTTTCATATTTTTATTAGGTACACTTCACACTAAAATGTATACACGCTCCAAATTTCATATCATTATGATTGGTAAATAAAAAATAAAAAATTAAAACACTACCAGACAACTGTGATTGTACGATGAAGTTTGGATGATGAAAATTTCATATCATTATGATTGGTATAAAAAAATTGTAAATTGAAACACTACCGAGCAACTGTGACTGTGCGATGAAGTTTGGACGGTGATGAGGGTAAACAAAATCACTGTCCCAATACTGATTCTCTGACAAACTATCTCATTATGTAAAAAAAGTAGTTCAATTAATTTATAAAAATGAGGGGGGGCTTTGCCTGATAGTTTTTTCAAAATTAAATGAAGAGCGGTGGCCTACCCCCATATTTTTTTCAGATCTTAGAAAGGAAATCCTACTTCTATTGGCCCGAACCACTTTGAAATGCGCATGAGTAATCGAATGGCATACGCTTTAAACGAGATGCACTTCGACTTTTAGAGAGCGTGAGGCTTGCGCTCGCTCCTTCGTGTCTTCAATGTGGGATAAATAGGTCCCGCTTCTTAACCTCACCGTAAACCGTATAACAAACCATTGGGGCAAATAAATAGTGGCATGACAAAACTTTGGGGTAAATAGATTGTGGGGTGAATAGAGTGGGATTTAAGACAAATAATAATAGTTTATAGGGCTTCTTTAATCGATACGCCCACTTTAAAATGGGATTGTATACAATCAGACCACTTATCTTTGATACATATAATGTGGTCACAATTATTTACAACCATCTGATATGAAGTTTGATAGCTTGGATGTGTCACAAAGTTTGAAAAAAAAAAATTTTAAGTTCGAGCTTGTTCAATGAAATAATTGCAGCTACGCAATTTCACATCCAATGGTCAAGATTAATGTCTCACCTTATACCAAAGTTAAATGGTCTCATTCTATACTTTTCCCTTTAAAATTTGTTTTCAAGTTTCTCTATCCATTTTCCTCATTACAAGTATACATTTATTTATTTATGTATAAATTTTATTAAAGCATAATTGCAAATTCATGTTTTGAATTCTATATTTATTTGGCAATATATATTTTTTGCTTGCTAAATCTCATATAGTGGAGAGGATTTTTTATTTTTTTATTTTTGGTAATTGTAATCATATGGCAAGATTTTGGAAATGATTTAACTGATATGAATTTGAGATTGTTTCAACAAACAAAACTTCATCAAAAAAGAAAGACTTTAGACTAGCGAAAGCATGTGTGGTGAGAAAACAGAAATGGAAGACCATAACTTTTTCCCCGACTGCCAGTTTGATTTAATAAAAACACAATAGCTCATTGTGAGGGTCATAGCTTTTCTTCTCTCTATTAACTCAAAAGGTCTAAAACTATTGTAGGATCCCTTTTTTTGTTTCACTATAAAAATTTGAGTTATGGAGATCTATGTTATTGGAATGAGTTGCATTTTAAATCTTATTTTGACCATAAAATTGGTGTAATGGAAATCTTGAAAATGAACGGTCCAGATAATGTGTTGCAAGATACACTATTTTACTGACTCGAAATCTTTTTCCTTTTCATATTTATAGATCTTGATATCAAGATGATCAATTAGAGTGTTTTCCAGCATCCAAACAATCTTTTATAACGTATTTTTGAGGTGCATCTTTAATTCTACATTTTAAAGTTGTAACCCTATATAAACTTTTTCCTTTAAGAACGAAATTATAATAATTTTTTGAAATTTTTTAAATGCCAGATCGTACCGATCCGTCCTGTTCTCCTATTGGAATCAGCAATCCACCAAATGGACATAATTTTTTGGTGGCCAATAAGGATCACTAATCCGTTCTTTTAAACCTTGTAGAGTATGTTTAAAAGACTTTTATACCAATTATCGAATTCGTAAACCGATACTCATCCAACTCCTTCTCTATGTGGAAAAGCCTCAAGAATCCGGCAGCCTAAATATTTTCCCAAATTTGTCACCCTATGAATCTGGCTTAGTGCTTGAGTAGCCCTACAAAACTAGAAGCCCTACAAAAACTCGAGGATCAATTTTAAAATGGAACGATCAATAGAAGCCACAAAAAAAACTGGATCGCGGCCATTGATCCCCTAGAACACTAGAAACCATAGGTGATGGCAACCTGAGGGGTTTGCATTCCAGGTTCGTTGGATGTTGGCTGGAACTGCATTTTCTGGTAATGGCGATCTTGAATTCCATTGCCCTCTTTAAGGTTTAAACCAACCAGAAAATCAATCAAAGTGAAATCGCTATTGCAATTGTTAAAAGCATTTTAGGAAACTGACTTCGTGGAACGAAGTGAGTGCAGAGAAAATCACCATTTTCATGGCTGCCAAAGCAAAGCTAAAAACTGAGCTATTCAAAGCATTTTCTGTTGGCGACTGATCCCAGCCTTCTTTGAGCTAGCCAGCCTTTTTCTAGCCAAATTCTCTCTCTCTCTCTCTCTCTCTCTCTCTCTCTCTCTCTCCTCTCTGGAATTGGGGTACCAGAAAAGGTGTCCGACGAATAAGCCATGGAAGAGAGGAGGCAGAACTGGTGTTCAAAAGCTCACTCTAGTCCCTGCTTCTCTCTTCTTTGAGAAGAAGAGTGGGAACTTGGTGATGAGCGAGGTACACTTTTCCCCTAGTAGGCTCAATTTGTCGGGGCAATGAATTTATGGCAAAAAAAAGAAAAAAGGGAAAATTTCCCATAGATCTTTAATTTTTTTTGTCGGTAGACCGTCGTTCTATTTTATTTTTAAGCAACATAAGCAAATCTTTAAAGATTTTACCGTACTACTCATCTTTTATTTCTCTCTTTTATTGACTTTTTTTACTACAAAAATTAGCTCTAAAAATTTTTTATGCTATTTTAACTCACAAACGTTTTTAATAGGTAGAAAGAGAAAACGATAGCTAAAAAGTTTTTGAGGTTGAAATAATATAAAAAGATTTGTTGAGAAATAATTTTTATAATAAAAAATCAATAAAAGAGAGAGATAAGAGATGAGAATGTATGATGAAATCTTTAAAAGTTTTCTAATATTGCTTGTAAATAAAACGGAAGGAAGATCTACCATGAAATAATATGAAAAATTAGAGATCTATACAAAATTTTTCCAAAAAAAAGAAAAACCAACTGCGGTATCCTCCATGGGCTTAAAACAATTGTCACTTTTCAGTATGGGCTTAAAACAATTATCACTTTTCAGTTTGAATGGCTTTGACATTTTTTATAAGAAAACAAATCATGCTTTAACATTTTCGACTAGAAAACAAATCATCATCATCAAAGTCTTCCTGTTTTTCAAACTAATTGAAGTCGACTACCACGAATCTTGATCCGCCATTCCACTCTATTAAAAGTTAAGCTCTATTAAAAGTCATGATCTCAATGAAACCATAAATACCTATATTTTTTCTCACTACTATCAACATTGTCCTTTTGAGTCTATCCCTTGCTCTTTTTCAGCTTTACACTTGAACTAACTCACACTTCCTAACAAAAACACTATACTGGATTTACGCTACTCAAGGCCAGCCCACCTAAATCGACTCTCTCAATCTTATCGTCTATTGGTACCATACTTAAATTTTTCTAAGTACATTCATTTCAAATTCTATCCCTTCTTGTCTTGCCACTCATCCATCTACACATCCTCATATCCGCTAAAATAGATAATCTGATAAATTGAATATTCATCCCATTTTTAGAATGGGAAGGAGGTTTGCATATAACTGGGAGTTTACGTAGACCATGTAAGGGTTTTCTCTTTTACTGGTGATATTTGGGTAGTCAATCATGAAATTAGCCAAGAAAACCTAGCCCCACCAAATTCATTGAAATACATACAAATCAAGGGTGTTTACTCTTTACTGCAACGGAAGCCATCCCAAACTCTAGAATAAAAATGTGTAAGAAGCCAGCATTAGCCACATATGCTCGTAGGCAAAAAATTGATGTTTAATTTTTTGGAGAGTTATTCTACATTTATCAATATACGTTAAAAACAGGCCTGCCACCTTCGTGACATTGCCCAAAAAAACACCTTTTGTATATACAATTGCTTTTTTTTTGCTTTCTTTCATCGTTTCTCTAATGCCCTTTCCTCCTCCGTTCACCTCTATGCTCGACACGGATGAAGGATGCTCCAAAACATCTCTACCCAAAGGAAGAGGCGTAAAATCTGTTATTTGAATCTCATGACCAGTGCAGTATTGGAACAAAATGTGGCCAACATGGGGCAAAATATGAGTTTCGGGAAGGTGGACGCTCGAGTCTTCCTTCAAGTATCCTCATCAAATACCTACTACTAATATTTGATGAAGTAGCAACCCTCCTAGCAGGCCTGTTAGAGAGACCTCAGAAATACGCCCACCTGCAATATAAGCTGAAAGCCACACGCATGTGAAAGAGAACCGTCAATTTTTTTTCAGCATATCCTGAAATCCCATAAAGAGGTGCAAGAAAAACATCATTTTGGAAAAAGTATATCATCATCTAATTGACTGTGGACAAACATAATCCCTTAGGGTTATCACCATCCAATAGTACGATAAACAGTGATGATGAGAGAGTGGGACCGTCGTTGGTGTCACATCCTGTCCTTATGGTCCCCCTCTCCATCCCCACGCCATTATCAAACAGCCAATGACCCCAACAGGGTATGTTGACCAACAGTACGGATTATATTACACTTTTCCTTGTTCTGAAACATCTTTGAATGAAGGAAAATGAACCAATATACATGTGCACACACACACACAAGGCTGGGCTAGTAACTCACAACTAGATGGTGAAGGTGAAATTGAGGCAACTGAGCTTGGAGGCTTTGAGGCTTCTTCATCATGCCCGATTTTGGGGGCCATAGGTGAGGGAGATATCTTGCGGTGTAACATTGGAGCAGGACCAAGTCGTTGGTCTTCTGAAGGCACAGCAGCCTGTGGCGAACCATCCAAAGGAACAGAGGGCAATGGTACAAATGAAGCTCTCGAATGAACACATGAAGCAGCTGGTGAAGGCGTTGGTGGATCTGAATAAGCTGGGGGTGTTGGGCCAAAAGATGGTTCAACCACAGGCAAAGGGGAATCTGGATAATATGGGGCAAGGGTAGGAACCACATCTTGTGGATATGGTGCATAATCCTCATAAGGAGGAGGGGTAACGAGAGATGAGGAAGGACCCGAGCTTTGGTGAGTGTTGTCTGGAGAGGGAGGAAGAGGATAAGAGGGAGAAAACGCTCGATGACAAGGGGGCAAAGAAGATGGAGAGGGGAATGGGGAAAGAGCAGAGGGAGAGGGAGAGGGAGAGGGAGAGGACTGAGGTGCATTGAGTGTATGCTTTAAAAATGATGAGAGCTCAATTTGCTTTACTTTGCCAAACACGGTGTTATCAAGGCCAAGGTTCTTGCCGGAAGAGCCAGTGATCATCTCTGCCAACTGCTTTAGCCTTGGCAGTCGTAAATGGCCCTCAAATTTCGACAAGACAGTCGTTTGCACCACAACTGGAGGAGCCAGTGTCGACCCATTTAAGTTGGTCACCTGAACGTAAACATTCTGTACACACATGCAGAGAGAGAGAGAGAGATTTAAATTGGTAAGCAAATTTCATTCAAATAGAAGGAAAAATGTACAACTAAAGAAATGAAAGGAATACAGAGAAAAATGAGAGGGAGAGATTTATATTGGTAAGCAAATTCCATTCAAATGAAAGAAAAAAATACAAAAAGTACAACTAAATCAATTAAAGGAGAGAGAAACTTCGGAGACAATAAGAACCAAGATCAGAATTCCAAGAAAAGCTTCGAAACTTTGTTACCTCGTAAGGCATGAGATGCAACCCATACTTCAACTGGCCGTTAAGCTGGTCAAAGTTCTGTTGTATCTGAGAAACGGAGTTATTCAAGGTGAAGTTGAAGAGGATTTGAGCTCTGGACCAGAGGGAGGCAGTCTGGGGAGGGCCCACAGTGATTCCTCCTGGAAATTTCAAGACTGCAAAGGATGATGGCTTCCCAAATACTGATTGAGTCAACGAAAGGTTCAACTGCTGCAGGACCAATTGTATCATCGATTCCCGAAGCAAACTTAGGTCAACAGCCGAGATGGATAAGTTACTTGAGTCAGGAATTACTCCAAAAACCACTTTAGTCCCATTTGATTTCCCTAGAGGCTCCATTGATATGATAGATACCTGTTCACAAGGGGAATTTACATGTTTGGTCAGAGAAATTTTTAAGGAAAAGGATTTTGAAATGTGCTTAGAAATAATGGAAAATTCTTCAATGTCACCTTTGTGTTTGGAACTCCTATTTCATCCATGATGTCATACTCAAGTCTTTGGGTGTGAGAAGATAACAAAGACATTGGCTTCTCGAGTCTGAAGCTGGCTTGCACTATAGCTGAGAGAGAAAGTTGCAGAGTTAATATATATCAAAAAAAAAACCACGGTTATGATATGGTATGCAGCTGGAAGTTTACGAACATATAATCACGTGTTATTTCACCAACATACAGTAAGACCTAGGCAAGGAACAAGAGACAGTAAGTGATTATTGAAGTACATGATTAAGAGCTACGAACCCATTGCACAAGAAGAGAATAACCCTGTTGAAGTTAAACTAAGAATGCACATCTGGTTTCAAATTTTGTGTTTTAAAGGAAACCCATTATAAGAAACATCTAAATCTCCATAGCTTTAGTGAAGGTCTAACTCCAAAGAGAATTAGACACAGATAAACTGGCAAATACTACTGAAATTTGGTCACATACATCTCCACTTGCATTCATGAGCATGACATGAATCTCCTATTACAAATAAGATATTCACAGCACAACAGCATCGCATTTAGAAATTTAAAAACTTACACGACAGAAAGATCAACCGCTCCCCCTGGATTCTGGATTGACAAGTTGGGCTTGAAAGGCTAAGATGTTGACAACTGCAAAACTGATGCAAATAAAAAAATTGATTATTTTTATTTTTTTTTTATTTTGTGGTTAGGGTTTTTTCTTACTGTATTTTATCGTTAGGAGTTTTTTTAATTATGGGATACTCGATGGTGCGCATTAGAATCCTTTATTTTGGGAGTTGAATAAAGAATTTGGGTCTTGTGAAAAGATCTTTAGGATGGACTCCCTTGAAGACCCAGAGAGAGGGTATGATCTGTCAACCCTTTTTATTTTTTATTTTTATTATTCTGGTTATTATTTTCTTCCTGCATCAGTTGGTATCAACGCAAGTAAGATCTATCAATCACAATGTTGCAAAATTCACTCTTACAATCGAGGATATATTGCCGCAAATAATGGAGTTTGTGGGTCAACAAATTAAGGAGAGCACGAACACAGCCATGGAGGGTATTTGAGGAGACATAAGCGAAATTAAACTGCAAAATTAAATAGAGGTTGCAACAGTTGGAGAAGACTATTATTCGAGTAGAGGGTGCTCGCAACCATGAAGATTTCGACAACAGATATCGTCGTAGAGATGAATCGAAGCCCACGAGTAATTAGGGGTGCCAATCCTGAATATGATGATTATATTGTAATGCAAGAACCACGATCTAAAGAGAGTCCACATGATCTTGGTATTCAAGTCAATCTTCCTGAGTTTTATGAGGAACTTGAAAAAGAAATCACGATTGAGCTAGAGATCTCAGTGTTCTACTACAAATTGTGTTGGATTAATTGGTTTATTGAAGACAAAGTACCGAGAAGAATGGTGGGACTAAATCACCAATTATACGGTTGGCCTTTGAAGGATATAAGTTCCAGGTTGAGCTTCTCCCAACCCTGGGAGACTGATACAAATAAAAAACATAGTCACACATTCATCTCATGCCATTTACAAGTTGCATAGTGAAAGAAATAGGTGGCATGAAGAGGATAAAAATTAGTGATATGTAAGTAAGAAGTAGATGGGGAAGAGTGTGGAGAAACAGGATATGTAAGTAAGAAGTAGAGATGGGGAAGAGTGTGGAGAAACAGGCGAGGACATAAGACCAATTCATTGCAGTGAACATAAAATAACCTACATAATGACATCGTATTCATGAAAAACTAATAAAAAACTTTTCTAGCATCAAATGTGGTAACAAGACAGCAATAATAAACAGCATGTCAAACAACATGACCATTGATTAAATAACAATAATAATCATAATAATAATAATAATAATAATAATAATAATAACAACAATAAAAAGAAGAAGAAGAAAAAGGGAAAACAGAATAGAAACGAATTACAAACAGTTGAGCTGTACTGATTCATTAATTCAGAGTGGGATTTGGGCAAATAAAACTTCAGAAATTTTATAAAATAGAAATATCACTTAGGTAAGTTTCCACCAATATATTCACCCAAAAAACAGTTTTCCACAATATATAAACCCAACGAATAGAAATAAAATTTCCATAAACCAAAATGAGGAAAGAGGGGGGAGGGGTGGAGGGAAAATAGAATAGAAATGAATTACAAACTTATAAGCAGCTGTACCGATTAACTAATTCAGAGTGGGATTTGCACAAATAAAACTTCAGAAAGTTTATTAAATAGAGATATCACTTAAGTTTCCACCAATATATTCAACCAAAAACCAATTTTCCACAATATACAGACCCAATGAATAGAAATAAAATTTCCACAAACCCAAGAAATGAGGAAAGAGGGGTGGGGGGGAGGGGGGGAGATCTTTGCAACAGCATAGTGGAAGAACTTGTCCACACATGAACTTACCGCAAGTTCAGAGATCAAGTGCAAGCCATCATATGCAATTTAAAAACAAACCAAGTTCATTCCTTAAGAATGTTCATAGAGAAAAACCCAATTAAAAATTTTGCAGAATCAACTATTTTAAAACAGTGTACCCAGCATTTAAAAACATAAAATAATCCATAGGACGAAAATTAAAGCATCAAATGAACTAAAGACTTGACTTTATAAATATCATGGTCAAACAGACAGATAATAGAACTACATAAATCGAAAGAGGAACACAAACGGATAATATAACTACATAAATCGAAAGAGGAATTTAGGCTTTATAAGAATATAAGATGAACCAATTGCTTAAATGAGATTTATCAATATGCAAAATCAATTAGAGGAAGAACTGGAATAAATTGGGATCAAGATGATTTAACACAAAATCAAGGCATGCGAGCATGCGTTTTCAATCTTAAGAAAGAAAGATTAGAGAAGACACAAGATGAAGAGGAAAAACAGAGTAATAAGCAAATAACAAACAGAAAAAGGTATGCCAAAATCTTTGTCTCTAGTCTGTAAGTAAACTTTCTCACTTTGAGATCCTAATGCCATCATAGTCACACATACATCTCATGCCTTGTACAAGTCGCATAGTGAGAGAGAGATGGCATGGAGAGGAAAAATGTGAGAGATATGTATGTAAGAAGTAGATGAGGAAGAGTGTAGAGAAACAAGTGGGGAAGGAAGACCAATTCATTGCAGTGAACATAAAATAAACTACATAACGGCATCGTATTCATGACAGACTAACCCAAAATTTTCTAGCATCAAATGTGGTAACAAGACAGAAATAATAAACAGCATGTCAAACAACATGTCCATCAATTAAATAACTATAATAATAACAACAACAACAACAACAACAACAACAACAACAACAACAACAACAACAACAATAACAACAACAACAATAATAATAATAACAACAATAAAAAGAAGAAGAAGAAAAAAAAAAAGGGAAAATAGAGAGAAATGAATTACAAACTTATAAAAAGTTGAGCTCTACAGATTCCTTAATTCAGAGTGGGATTTACACAAATAAAACTTCAGAAATTTTATAAAATAGAGATATCACTTAAGTAAGTTTCCACCAACATATTTACCCAAGAAACAATTTTCCACAATATATAAACCCAATGAATAGAAATAAAATTTCCTCAAACCAAAACAAGGAAATAGGGGGTGGGGGGGAATCTTTGCATCAGTATATTGGAAGAACTTGTCAACACATGAACTTACCTCAAGTTCAGAGATCAAGTGTAAGCCATCATATGCAGTTTAGAAACAAATCAAGAACATTCCTAAGAATGTTCATAAAGCAAAACCCAATTAAAATTTTTGCAGAATCATCGATTTTAAAAACAGCAGTAAAAACAGTGTACCCAAGTTTTAAAACATAAAAGAATCCATAGGAGGAAAATTAAAGCATCAAATGATGGTCAAACAGATAGATAATACAACTACATAAATCTAAAGAGGAATTTAGGCTTTATAAGAATATAAGATGAACCAATTGCTTAAATGAGATTTTTTTTTTTTTTTTGAGAAATGTTAACTTGCTTAAATGAGATTTATCAATATTTAAAATCAATTAGAGGAAGAACTGGAATAAACTGATACAAGGAAAGAACAAAAGAACAAAAAAAAACTAAAAAAAAATATTTGCATCAGCTAAATAGAAGACCTTGTCAACATATGAACTTACCTTAAGTTCAGCGATCAAGTGTAAGCCATCATATGCAATTAAATAAATAAATAAAACAAAAATCAAAAAATAAAAAAAAAGTATAAAACCAAAATCTATCTTTATCAAAACAAAACCCACTACAGAAAGTAGAAAGCCCACAGAAAGGTCAAACTGGCCAAAGCAAACTAAAAATGCATCCATAAGCTACAAAAGGTGGAGAGAGATAGAGAATCTCAAAATTAGTAGAGATAAAGTCTCCAAATAAAGTTTGCTTGGAAATAATGAATTACAAAATAATAGGAAAAAAATTGACTTCTATGAACTAAACATTAGCCTCTCAACGATTATTGGGTGAGTGAATTGCACATGCAAGAAATTACATCTATACCTGTCTACTTGTCTATAAATGGGAAAGCATACCATCCAAATGGAAGCACTACCTCCTATGGTGGCAATTTCCACTCACAATATTCACTCAAAATCAAAGGTAAACCAGGCACACACACAAATAAATAAAAGATGTCCAACGACCCTTAAGCAGAAAATGATGAGGTCATCTCTCATTCAATCTACATTTATAAAGTATTTACATTTGAACAATCAGCGAAATGCACCAGTTTTGCAAAGCTTTTCAGATTTTATTTCTAAAATGAATTTCAACAACCATACACCCTGCATGGATTGACTTCACAATAACTTCAGCAGATCTACATCATATTCAAGGTTTAAAAAATCGATGACCCAATCCGGAATCCGGATCGGGAATCGCCATGGACGCTCCGGATTAGGCCAAAAAACAAGATTCAAGTGGTTTCAAGTAGTAGAATCGCCAATTTCTTTCACAAAACCGCTGATTCCAACAATTCTTCACGGATTCCGACCAATTCTTCATCGAGTCAAGCGAAAAAAAAGGATGAATAGTTTTTTCTTGAATTATTTTTTAAAAA